AGGCGTTCTTCAGATAACTGGAAGAAACCTCACATTCACAGGTCCTGGTCCTCATGGGAACTTTAACTGCCCCAATATCTATTAGAAGGGCAAGCCAGCAAGGCACAAGCCATCTTGGAGATTTCTAGAGTGCACTGATGATAATCTCCTCACACAGGTGATCAAGGAGCCAATGAGGGGAGATGATCTGCTGGAGCTGATACTTACAAATAAGGAAGAACTGGTTGGAAACATGAAGGTTAGGGTGGCCTTGGCCACAGTCACTCTAACATGGTGGAGTTCAGGATCCTGAGAGGAAGGAACAAGGCAAGAGAAGAGAGAAGAAGGGCCCAGTCCAGACCTGACTGATTTTCAAGGATCACCTCCTTCAAGCTTGAGAATGGTCCATCCTGATGTGCAGTAAAGCCTCCTGGGAGTCATTTCTGAACATATTGTGAAGAAGGTGACTGGGAGTAGTCAGCATGGCTTTATGAAGGCGAAATTATGCTTGAGCCTTCTACAATGAGATGACTGACTCACTGTATGAGTGGAGAACAGTGCATGTGGTTTATCTTGACTTGGGCAAAGCTTTTGACAGTGTCCCATAGCAACTGATGAAGTACAAGCTAACTAAGCAGTCAATGAGGTTTTCTGGAAACTGGCTGAGCTGTTGGGCTCAAAGGGTTGTGATCAGCAGCATGAAGTCCAGCTGAAGGTCAATCACTAGTGGAGTACTCCAGGAGTTGGTACTGGTTTACCAATATGTTTCAGCATCCTCATTAATGACCTGAACAAGGGGACAGAGCGCACGCTCAGCAAGTTTCCAGACAATACAAAATTGGGAAGAGTGGCTGATACAGCGGACAACTGTGCTGCCATTCAAAGGGACCTTGCTGGGCTGCAGAAGTGGACAGACATGAAGTTCAACAAAGGAAATGCAAAGTCCTAGTGATCCTTCCCTCTCCTCAGCACTGATGAGGCCACACCTGGAATGCTGGTTCCAGTGCTTAGCTTCCTAGTACAAGAAAGAAATGGATTTACTGGAGGGAGTCCAACGAAGGGTCATGAAGATGATTAAGGGACTGGAACATTTGTTATAGGCAGAAAGCCTGAGACACCTGGGACTGTTACTCAGGGAAGAGCTTATCAATGTGTAGAAATACCTGATAGGGAAAAAGTAAAAAAATGCAGAGCTAGACTCAGCCCAGTGAAAAGACAAGAAGCAATGGGCACAAATTGAAATACAGAATATTCCACTTAAACATAAGAAAAAACTTTTTTACTGTGAGGGTGGCCAGACATTGGAACAGGTTGCCCAGACAGTTTGTGGAGTCTCCTCCATCCTTGGATGTAGTCAAAACCTGACTGGACAGGGCTCTGAGCAACCTGCTCTAGTTGATCCTGCTCTGAACAGGGTGGGTTGAACTAGATGATCTCCAGAGTCCTTTTCTAACCTCAACAACTCTGTGATAATCCCAGGAAGTGCAACAACCACAAGCCTTTTGGGCAACAAAGAGGCCTCCTTGCTGCCACTTTCCTTTAGGTTAAGCAATAAAATAGTCATTAGATGACAGAGAAAATCAAAAAAGACTGACTAGCCAGAGAGTTAGGGTAAATCAGGTTGAAATTTCTTACTTCACATAATGGTATGAAGTATAACAGGTTTTGAGAAAAGCATTTAAAAAAAATTATTTTCTCAGAACACCCAGTGCTCTGTGATAAGGGAATTTTTTGCAATATGAGAAGAGGCAGATAGTGCAGACCTAGATCTTTCACATGCCAGCTGAGTGCACTAGATATTGGGAATAATAGCTACCAGTTATCACCCAGGAATTCAGTGATTTTGGGAGTGAGATGGGAGTGAAGAGGAGTTCAGACTAGTGTGCCTCAATCTGTGGTTTAGAGACTTCTGAAAAATCCGTAAGGTATTAGAACACAATTCACAGAAGAACTGAAAACAGTAAAAAAACAAAAAACAAACAAGCAAAAAAAATGTACATACACACAAATATTCTTACCCATGCAAAAGTGAGCAAACAAAGGGGAGAAAACTACAGGTAATACCTGAACAATCAGAATATATCCCAATTAAAATCTGGTTGTAAATGAAACCTGATGTGGAAAACACTGCTCAAAAACGTCTGCAGATTCTCTGGGAAAAAAAAAAGTGATTTTGTCCTTCGTTGGAAAATAAAACATCTGTGAAATAGTGGTTTGGCTGACCTCCAGATGCCCCTCTAAAGTAAAATTCTTCAGGTAGCGAGGGAATAGCCAATCTGAAAAACCCTACTACTGTGAGCTAAAGTTCTGTGCAACTTGGTAAAGACAGAGCAGTGGTGACTTTGCATCATGGGCAGATCCATAAAAGATTGTAACAGCTAGTAAGACTAAAAGGGCCAAGTAGCTGCTGAGTTAGGGGATTTGAGAGCCCAAGAGCCTACCTGGAAAGAAGAGTGCAATTGGACGATCTCCTTTAAGTACCTAAGCCTAATTCAAAGCACCTGTAATAAGTAACCTATGATATTCCTTATGTAGTGTGAGTGGAGCGTCATAGAGGAATTCTGAGGACCTAAGTTAGATCCTCATATAAGATCACATGACCACCTTCCTATATGCATATTTTTTGGCCAAATTCCCCCCCCCCATCCACCCCCCCCAAAAGGATTCAGTTGCAGCAGCGCATCACGTATAGACTCATGACCCCAGGAGAGGGATCCATTCAGAATCCCATAAATATCTTGGGAAAAGCTATATGCCTCAAAGGGAGACTGAAAACAGGCAGCACACTAGGAAGAGCACACTAAGTCAGTGCCTTAGCGCGCAGCCGCAAAGAGCTAAGCAAAAGGGAAATACTGAGGATTGGCCAACCCCTAAATCCTACCCCTCAAACACCTTGCACTGATATGCTGGAAAGTAGACCTTTTAGTCTAAGGATCTGGACCTAGATAGAGCCTTCTCTTGAAGTTAAAATGCCTGTGCTTTGCTTTCAAAAGCTGCTTCTTTTTCTTTGGAAACAGGGTCACTGAAAAAGGCAAGCTGATAACCTGTTTTATGCAACAGGTTAGCGGTAAAAGCATTCAATCGGATGCAGTTCTGTCTTTTATCTGATGTCACTGAAACACATATTCCAAAAAACTGCTCTATTACCCATTGAAGTGCACGTGTTGTGGGAGTACAATGGGTTGGAGTAGTAGGAGGCAGACTCCACACTCAGATTGAATTTATGTCCCTGTGAAGAAAGAACTAAAGATACATTGGACTAAAGAAAGAATAGAAACATGAATATGATTCTGTACTAGTGGTTAGACGTTAACCTGGGAAGGGGGAATACCTGCTTTAGAGACTACTTTTTACCTTTAAAAAGTCGAAACATCCCTTAAGCCTTTTAAATAAAAACTCAGCAACATCCAGGGCTTTGGGAAGAACATTTTATTGCTAAGCATATCTTTAAATAAAATGCAAATAAGAAAAGAAAAAGAATCAAAAAGGAAGAAGAAAAAGAAAGGGAAAAAAAGTAGTAACATCACAATAACTCAAATAAAAATTCTTAAGGTTGTCCATAAAACAACAGGGATATGGTAGAAGCCCACATACAGAAATGCACATGTTCCTAAAAACTGTTCAATAGAAACTTACACAAAAAAAGGAAATTTTTTCCCCTTAACTTAAAAAAGGAAAGCAAAAAGGAAAGGAAGAAAGAAAGCAGGAAATCATTTCACAAGACTCCAAGACTCCAAGAACAGCAATCTTTTACAGACATCAAGATATAATCAACTTTATATAGTTTCAGCCAGTTAAATCATCTAAAATCGTGCTTTCATACCTTTTTAAAACCTGTCTTTTTTTTCTTTTTAGTATAAAAAATAAAAAAGGAAAAGAAAAGCTCAACCTCCCACGCACGCACACGTACCACACACGCGCACACATACACACACTGAAAATTTCTGTTAGCATGAAAGCATCTTCTCTAAATGTTTGAGAAGCTGCTTTTTTGAATTTAAGTTCCCATGTGCATGTGTGCATTTGATGACACTTCTTCAAAGTCAAATATTCATGCGACTTATAAACACCAGCAAGAGTAGATTTCTAAACCTAAACAGCTGATTAGTTTTCATCTGTATACAGAAAAAGTGTACATTTCTGATATTCCAGAGTTCTCAGTAGCTCTTTTTGTTTTCCTCTCTGTCTCTCTCTCTCTACCTTATTTAGCCTGATAGCACATGATAGGCATAGTCATCAAACCACCTGGCTATTGTACTGTACAGTAAGATAATCCTTTTCACAATAACTGGGAAAATGTGGAAACCAAATAACCAAATAACCAAATTAAATAAGTTAAATAGAAATAAAAGAAGTTCCCAATTTAACCATAAAACAGTATATACATTATCAGGGTATCCATATAGAAATTATATTAGCAAAAAAAGTAGTAAAATATGTAAACAAAATTTCAGAATTTGTTTGTATATTTTTTTGACACAGGTAACTGTGACAAAGCTAAAACACACACGCTTTCACATTTTAAGGTTAAGGTTTGCTTTTGTTGTTTGTTTCTTTTTACTTTGTTCTTCCTGAAAATTCTCGTTCCATGTTAAGACCATAACAGAATTTCTGTTCCAGTCGTCCCATCAAACATACCATGATAAATATATCTGTGTGTATATATATATATATATATATAATAATATTATTAAATTCCTTTTTCTTTATTATTTTTGTGTGTCACAGCAGCTTTATTTTCTTTCATATAAAAGAGAAGGAAAAGGGAGATTAGGGCAAATGGAAAGACAGAGACGGTTTGAAATGTCAAGCTACAAAATTAAAATATTACATATGAAAAACAGCATGTCTTAAAAAAACTATGCATTTTTCATTTTGCATTCTTTAACAACTGTTTAGCTCATCTGATGTTTATGGGTCTTGTCACAAGCTGAACTCCAATGATATCTTTCTGATCTCTTTATTAAATTGATTTAATATTATTTTTTGCATGCATTGCAATCAGTCACAGAACCAGAACCCAGAGAAAGGCTCCTTTATTTTTGCATGGCATATTCAGCTCAGAATGGTGAACCATTTTTTTTAAGCATTCTTTTTTGAGTCTTCAAATCCCCTTGAGTTTGGCTGTGCTAATGCATACTAAGTGATATTCGCAAATAAAGCCAACAACCCTCCTCAGAACAGACCCAAACCCATTTATTCTTCAGTTCAATTGTGAATACTGCAGCCAGATCCAAGGGGACCAGCTTTCCATGATAATTTTCTTCAACATCACCCATCACACACTTTCACTGAGTTGTTAGCAAACAACTTACTGTAAGACAACGGATTCTAGAGACAACACAACCAGATATGCAGAGTAAACACCATGGGTAGCTTTTGAGTTCATATATGGCAATAGTCTCTCTTTATTTATTATTGATTTTTTTTCCGAGATTTCTTCTCAATTCATGTCCAGGTTCACTCTCCCCCCTAACACCATTCCTCTCCACCCTACCCTCCCATGCCCAAAAGTAAACAAAACCAAAAAGAAAAACCAACCCAAGAAACCAAACCAAACCAAACCAAAAACAACAATCTCTAAAATCATTTATCCCCCTCCTCCAATCTCGAAAAATTATATGTATGCTGGACACGGCCAGATCAGTTTGTTCAATATTTTTTGTTGTTTATAGTGTTTGTGTTTTTTTCTTTTTCCTTCCTTTTTTTTTTAATAAGTAAACTGAAAAATTATCGATACAGTCAGGAATCACGAACATTGTTAAAGACTCACTTGGAGATATGAAACAAGTAAGCCATGAAGTCTTCTACCTTTGCAGAAAGTTCAGCGGAGGAGGAGATTTGGAGACGTCCAAATCCGCTAACAGGGTAGAGGTGTACGCGCCATCTCCAGAACGCTAAGTGTGCTTTATAATACATTAGGGCAGAGTTTGCTGACTCCAAGCGATGACTGAGACATTAACAGTCACTGCTGAAATTTTTTTTCCCAATACTTTTTCCCACAAACGATATCTCCCAATCTCGTTCGCTGTAATGGTTCTGATATTTCAATTAAATCTCATTAAGTATTTATATATTTATATATAAATAAGTATTCTTTTTTTACACATAATACTCTTTGTCCTTGTTTTTCTGTTTCTTGTGGCCGCTCTTTGAGCTCTGCTGCTTCTCCTTCACGAGCGTGCCGTTGCTCTGGGCCGAGTTGCTGATGTAGTTCCGCGTCTCGTCCACCTGATAGGACCCCTCGTCCCTGTTCCTGTACTTGTACATGGCGTACAGGAGGATGAGGATGCAGAGGGCAGCAGCAGCCACAATGCCGACGACCATCCCCGTTGTGCTGCTCGACTCGCGGACCACCTCTGAGGCCCCCGGAACCCGTCTGATTCCCGGCTCCGTGGGGTTTGCTGTGGGCACATTACGGAACATGGGGGAAGTGATTAGCGGGCTCTTCAGCTTTGTGCTGTCTAGCTCATAGGCAGTGGGCAACGGAAGCAAGACTATGTCAGGCTGGGGTTTGAGCTCACGGTTATTCATTTTGCCGGCTGGCAATTTGGGCACCATCCCAGTCGAGGACGAAGCTGTGGAGCGGATCAGCTCAGGGGACAAAGACGTGGTAGTAGTCCTACCAGTTTCGGAGACTTTGTTAGGTCTAAAGTCCTTGGATTCCCACTTGGGTGCGTGTGCTTTGTAGCCACCTTCGAAGATTGAAGTGGAAAGACTCTTATCTGTTACCAAGGAGAAGGTGGTGTAAAAATCTTCATCATCAGTAGGGGGTAGGTTAGAGTCAAAGGTTTCCCCTGAGCCATACCCAGATATCACCAAGCCATCATCATCACAACCATCGCTGCCTTGGTCCGACAAGCAAGGTAACCCCGCCTCAGAGGTCATGGACAGGGAATCTTTGGTGGTCTCAATAATGGTGAGGAGGGGGCGAAAGGTAGGGGGAAGTGTAATGAAAGGTGCACGAGTAGCAATAGGAGGGATATCTAAAGGGTCTTCTACAAGTAGAGGGATAACTAATTCACCTCCTGGGATGGAAAAGAGAGAAAAAAGAAAAAGAGTATTAGTACATTTTAATGGCACTGCATCATTTTCAACTCACTTAGCTCAAGGGCAGTACATGGTTTGGGTACTATGAAAAAGCATCAGGGATCCAGATTTCTTGCCATAACTATGCTACCAACATACTTTCCTGGGGTTTCCCTTCACTCTTCCCTCCCATCTTGCTTTTGATATTAAGGTAAACTGCATGTTCCATTTCCTCCCTCTTTTAACCTAGGCTAGGCACATACAGTGAAAAACTCTGAAATTTTGGGGACCTGAAGTTTTTGATTTTGAAGATACTCTCAAGTGACTCTGAGGACATCAACTTTTGGCAGTGACCTTTCTTAAGCAACTCGTTATCAGACTGTTTAACTGAATTACTTCAAACCTTCATGCAGCAATGTTCTCTTAGATGGGTTTTACTGCTTATCTTACCAGTTTTTCCTCCTCTGATTCTTTTCATTTAAGAAAATGTTGGTATTTCTTCTCTGCCATTCAAGTCTTTCCTTCTGCAGCAATTTCTATGTCCTTTCCCATTCGGTCCTTTCTTCTTGAGTGTTGCCTGGTTTTTAAATTGTGGGAAGGCTCATGAAAGTGAAGGATGGAATAATACTCACTGAGGTCCGTGAAGGTATACACCTGTACTCAAAACCCGTTCAGGTCTTTTTAATCTTTACCATCCTGTTCTACACCTTCTTGGGCTACTACTGCCTATCATCTTGATTGTGAGTTCTTCTTTGCTTTTGCTATAATTTGAATAAAAATTGTGATAGACTGTGTTACCGTTGATGATAAAACTAAGTCAGGATTCTGATGACTCAAATTAGTGCTTGAGCCCAGGCCTGTACTGCAGAAGTTGTTTTCACACCTACTGTCATTTCTTGATACGCAGATAGCTATTGAAGCATAATGTATCACTGTAATGTTCAGATTGTATAGTCTTCTGCTGACATACAGGTTGCAGACTTTTTTTTAAAAGGCAAGCTGTCCTGCTTTTGCAAGATTTTGTGTAAATTTTCCCTTGGGTCATTTTTCTTTGGTTAGCCACTTAACCCAGTTGATTTAAATACAAACTGAAGGCTTTATCTTATACCATGCGCAGTCATCTAAATCTGTAAGAAGAGAGTGCAGCTCAGTTCGAGATATTTCTAATGCATGGGAAATTTTGATTTATACTCATGTTACTTGAGGAAAGAGAGGCAAAAGGAATTTTACTTTCTAAATAAATAATTCTAGCTTTGACTTATGTATTAACAATTGCCAATGAATAGTCTGACACTGTAGTGACTGCTGAATGATCTCAGGGTCAAAACTCTGCTCTCTCTGATCGACACCGTATGTTACATGCACTTGTTTCTCACTGAATACTACCAGCAATGCCCATGGGAGTTTTATAACGAATATGCCTCTAAAATCATAATCCCATGCTAAACATATTTGGAGAGCAGTACATTTGTACAAATTACATATTGAGGATAGCAATGTACTGCGATACTGAAAAGGTACTTAACAGTTTGATTACATCTGGACAGCTAAACTAGTAATACTGCTTATTCTTAACCTTAATGAGAAACTGAGTGCTGACACAGTTTAATAATTCGACATAGTCTGTTTTTACTCAGAGGTACCAGGCTAGAAATTAGGCCAAAATAAGGAATGTGGCACTTCATATAGTCTCTTAACATACTTTCATGTAAAGTTTTCTGTGAGGTAAGCTACAAAGGGCCAGCTTGAATACGTTGCTTAGTTTTCTGCCTCAGCATGTTCATATCACTTCTGTTACTGAACAAAGGAAGTAAAAATGAATATCATACAGGTAAAATAATGCCAATCTCTTCAAATTACACGTCTTCCATAAAAGTATGGAAAAAGCAAAGGCAGCTGCATTGCATTTTGTATTTGGGTATCTAAGCTGTTTTCTATGCAACGTAGAAACTGGAACATGTAATGTGATTTACATATGTCCCAAAGCCCTGTCCATGTACGGGATCAATAATCTATGCAAACAGGTGGTCTCAGAATAACCTTGAAGCATGCCTCAGAGGGGAAGATCATCTGTAACTCTGGCCAAAAATGAATAAAATAATAGAATTTACATGTACATGAAATCAAATTGTGTGAGTGCGGAATCTAAGTCACAGAAAGTCAAGGATAGATAGTGTCCCTTTAAGTGACTTTTTAAGATCAGTGTTTTGCTGTTAAACTGTCGTATTCATCTGTGATTTTAAGATACCATCTGTGATACTCAATTGGAGTAGTAAGTTTGGCAATGCTTAATTTTTTATCTAAAACTTTGAAGAGCCTTTGTTATTAAAATCGATTATACTGGCACATGGCTTCAGCATGCAGTTCATCTACCATACACTGGGGCAATATTCTGGGTCATTTTCTTCCAAAGAGTAATATTTTGGGTCCAGTTTATGATTAATTTCCTAGAGTTGGCTTCAAGGAATTGTAAACATCTTGCATTTAATAGGAAGACCTTTCTTTAGACCCAGTTTCCATTTGCAACATAACTTGCCTTAGAACCAGCTAATCTTTCTACAGTTTTTGTTGCTGTTCATGACATGAGTCAATGATCAAAACTACTGCAATGACTATTAAATGATCATGGCCTTCCTGAAATGTCAAAGAAAAGTTGATGGAGCTGCTAGGGTAAGTGGGACTTCACCTAAGTGATGGAGAGCAGTTTGGAGCTCTGAGTAAGTCTGCTGGATGGAAGACAGTAGAACAGAATCAGAAATGAGTTTTACAAAGCCTTAATCTCTCTTAGGTGAAAAGGGAAGTAACTTTCATACCAGCAAGCTTCCAATAACTTTGATTTCCCATACAATCATTTAATCTAATCTCTAGTTTTATTCCACTGTCCAGTGATCCACAACATGTTTGCCTGTATACTAAAAAAATAAAGGGAGCCTGTTAAAAGTCCTTCCTCGGGATTATGTCTCCATCAAGGAATTCGTTTGTTACACTTACTTAAGATAACGTATCTTATGGGTGCAACAGAGAGATGGGGGTAAGGGTAGTGATGATGCTAGCTTTTTTTTTGTTGGCTTTTTCTTTCTATCCATAATGGAAGAAGCTGTGAGATGGAGAAAAAAGTTGTGTGGGGGAAGGTAATTCAGAAAAAAGTACTCTAAATAGGAAGTATGACTTCTGATTTATTGGTATGTTGGACATCTATGCAAAACTCACAGCAAGCTAGAAGTTATATGAATACTTCTTGGGGTACATGATTTATAAAGGGAGTTATAACACCTTTTAAAATGGCATGATAAAAATGCCACTCAGTCTAAAAGAAATGTGTTATTTAAGGACTACAGAGAATATAAATTCTGAAAAGCTCCCAGGAAGCTGAGAAACATGATCACAGACATCTACGGAGAGAAGCAAGTGCAAATTTTCATATAATATCTGGGAAAAAACTCTGTTCCTGGTACTACATTTTGACTCATAAGAGACCTAAGAGGGAGGCTGATGACAGGCAGATGAGAAAAGGTGGGGGGGATCCATCTTCCACAAAATGACAGCTGAGACACCAGGAAGCTGCCTACAGCCAGCGATCCTTTGACGGAGAAGTCTCTTGCCCACACCCCCAAGCCGGTTTTAAATGTAAGCTCTGGAAGATTTTAAAAGATAAAGTGTCATTTAGTTGCCAAGTGTGTTCTTATGTGGGAATTGGACTCTGAAAGATCCACTGTGAAGGTAAGTGCTTTACAGTTCTGGATATTCAGTAACAAAACTAAAAGAAGCCCCGGAAAAACTTTACATGACAATTTGGAGGGGAAACACATTCCAGGAAAGTTTTATGTTTGCATTTTCTTATCTTAAGTTTTGATTTTTTTAGCAGTGTCTCCAATTTTTAATCATGACATTAACCCTTTGCAGACTTGAATAAAACTTACAGTTTTTATTCCCAATTTTCATGTTTAAAACACAAGGATATGCCTGTCACCTAAACTGGGCTTTGAAACGTATGTTCCTACTAGGCCTTGATTCTGTTTGTTAGTATAGATCATTTCCTGATAGTAAAAGGCCTTTTCTCCCTTGTTTGCTTTTTTTCTGCTGGCTGTTGAGCACCAGTTTGCAGTGTTCACTGGTATGCTCTGAGTTCAGGATTGCTTGAGAAATCCAAAGATATCACCATGACTTTCCAGATTTATTTTTCACCTATGCCTTGCTTTCTTTCCCAAGCAGGGAATGGATGTTTCCAAGGAAGAAATATGTTTATCTTTTAAAGGCTTGTGTTCCCAGCACAATGCCAAAGAATCACATGTAAGGGAAATAGATAAAATAGTTTCTTCCACAGTGATAATGACACAAAATTAGCTCCCTCATCACTAGTATAACCGCCAAAAATTACTGCACAACAAACAGGAAGCAGCATTCAGAGAACTGAGGTCTGTGAGGTGGAAAAACCTAAACTAAGTACACAGCGCTCTGCTTGGCCTTCTCATTGCCTGAAACAAACACTGTGTGTATATTCCTTAAAAGTTACCCTTTAAATCTAGCACATATACTTTTTTCACAGGGCTGTGCTTTTCTTTAAACTACCAAGATCACTGGGGATATAAAAGGTCTACTTTAGCCTTGAAGCTGCCCTGCTTTTTGCTTTATGAGTGTATTTATAGATATATAATTCATACCTCTGGGGCTGATCTCCAGTAAGAGTTCTCTGCCACCGGAAAAGACAGAGTGTTAAAAATTTAATAGAAGCCTTATGAACTGTGAGGATGTTGTAGGCGAGTCATGAATGCTGAGGGCACCAAAAAAAAGGAAAAAAAGAAAAGAAAAACTGCAGCAGCCGCCAGCTTTCATCTTTATAGCCAAGACTACTTCGCTGGAGTCTCAGGCATCAGAAAGACATAGGACAAAAGGTGCACTGAAAAGAAGCCTGAACATCTTCTTACAATGACCATAACAGATACACCCATATTGTCTCTCTCTTTTCCAGATGCGGCTGAAGAGCTTTTAAATGCCATCC